TGAGATGGTTGGGGCTGGTCCTGCTCAGGGCAGGGGGCTGGACTAGGTGACCTCCTGCCGTCCCTTCCCACCCTCGTGTTCTAGGCATATATGTATATGATGCTCCTTGGGGCAAAGCTTGCTGGCAAGGTTCTGGGTAATGATATCTCCCAGATCCAGTCCCCCCCACCCCCAATCCCATGGTCTCCATTCTCACTGTCTCAAAATGAATGGAGAAGTAAGGACGCTTGTGCAACTGGATTGAGAACAGCCTTCCCAGGGAGATGCCAGCCTCCAACTACCCAAGCCTCTAGCTAACTTCGTGTGTGTGTGCGTGTGTGTGTGTGTGGGGGGGGTGTTGTTGTTGGGGGGCGTTTTTTTGTTTGTTTTTTTATTTTAGCCAATAAGTAACAGATGCATCTTGTTTTTCTTTTCCCAGTAGGAAGAACCCATATATTTGGCTGTGAAGGAGAATGGCTGTGACTTTAGTACAAGCCCAAAGGGTGGGCTATACATTTTTGAAAGCACTCCTAAGATTCGGTTTTATGGTCGCCAATAACCTGGTTGCTATTCCGTCCTACGTCTTGTATTTAATTATACTGCAACCTCTTCGAGTCTTGGATAGTAAGCTGTTCTGGTATATCGAAGGAGTATTATTTAAATGGCTTTTAGCTATGGTGGCTTCCTGGGGCTGGTGGGCAGGATATACAGGTAAGAATGTTTTAATAATTTAAAGAAATGTACAAGTATAATCATGTAGCTACATCCTAGATAATAAAGGTAGATGCTGTTACTGTGGGTTCCCCTCCTCCTTTTGGCCTGTTGTACAGACATGCACTATGTTTCTAGATTGAACTCTCAATGAATCTATTATTTATATTAAAACTGATCTTTCAAAAATATCTTTATAATGTACTACATTACTGGGTTCAAAGAACATATTAAATAATAGAGGCTCTTAGCTCTCAATCAATAGCTTACTTCATGATTAGTGATGTCCATGCCTTTAGAAGTGTTTCTCCTTTTCCCCATGCTCCCAGGACCTGAGGTCATCTTGTTTTGGTGTTAATATGGGACACCTTTGAAAAGCCCCTTCATTTCTGTTAGGTACAAGGCTGAAATGCTTACGCTTTGAGTATAAACAAATAATTTTCGCTTGGAGCTATCAGTACAAAAGATTGAGAGGTTTCCCTTAAAATACATTTTTGAAAAAATAGCTCCTATTCCTTATGGCTTGCGCCTACAGTTCTCATTTTCTGCCACTTCTAAATAAGGGGAACATCTTTTGTGGATGTAGGTGAAATGTAGGGACACCTCTCTCTCTCTCTCTCTCTCTCTCTCTCTCTCTCTCTCTCATAAGTCTTCATTCGCTATTTATAGAATTAATATTTTAACTATGTGAGTTTTTTATATATAAATTTTCTTTGCATGCATTGCTTTATAGTTATCATTTGAACTTCTTTTACCTGTTAGTGTTTATAGGCTCATTGATGATGGACTGAACTGACGATGTACTAAGGAAGGCTCTAAACCTTGTCCTTGGGCATATTGACTTTCATCTTGGCTGCTGCACATTGTGCAATGAAAGAGCCATCAATTGTGTGTATGTGCTCAGATTCTAGAAAAAAGGGAGGTGGTGGAGGACATTTGTCTTGTGAGAACAACATGAACAACTCTCCTGAAATTCTCTGTCTCCCTTTCTCCAGCCCAGGAGGCATCTGCAGGTCTTGTCTGTGTATACAAGGGAAAAAGGAATGACAGCACAGCTCTGGAGTCTGGTTGGACTCTGGGTTAGTCAGAGTATTCAGTATTGACCCAGATACGGAGCTCTTCCACGTACCGGCAAAGCTATTTGTTGGGCTGCAAGAGCTGAAACCTCTTTGAAAATGTGCCTTTTGGTATGGTGTTGTGTGCCTTGTGGAGATGCACACATGTTCTGTGGCTGTTCTAGGTGAGCTCCTAGTTCTCCTTAAGGAGGTGGTGGTGGTGGCAGCACAATTAGATTCCAAACCATTGGGCCAGAACTGTTGCAAGCGTTGCACTGCTTCAGAACTGCATTGCCTGGTACAGCTCAATCTTTTTCCAACTGTGCTTATTTTATTTATTTATTTATTTTAATCTTTGTATGTTTACATTTGCTCATTAAAAAGAAGTCCACATAGTATTTGCAGTGGCAGGTACTTTTTTTACTGCCCGCCTTCAGTCTTTAAATGCAATAAAACTTTTCCAGTAGGAAGAGATCTTTACAGTGTTGTATGTATTCTTAATTGGATATGTGAAAGTTTATCAGCATAACAGTAAGGAAAAATTTATCTCGCATGAGACCTTAGGGGTGCAATGTTTAGATCATAAGTGCCATTTTAAAATTCAAGTCATTGTCTTTTGACTGCATAGCTGTTGATGAATTTTGAGGGCAGTTTCTTGGGGGTATGTTCCCTGCTGTCTGCAGAACTGTGTGGTTTCTTTTGCCTCTTGCTTGGAAAGTGGTGTCAGCATGATCTGCATACTCTAGAATCTCCTTGAAACCTCTCTTGGTCAGTTTGCTGTTGCATCTTAGGAATTTGAATAGTTTTCTTTTGCTATCTTAAGAACCCTTTGGCACATTTAAAGTGGCTTTTCCTATTGGTAGAATTAGCAGCAACATGGAAATATTTTCTAGGATGATTTCAAGGCAGAGGGACCCTATTTCTGTTTCGAGACTGAATCGAGGCATTGGTCAGGTGTATGAGTAGTACTCAATTGAATAGTTCTCATTCTCAAATTTAAGCAAGTGCTGATGAGACTCTTACTTTCTATAGGTAACTCTGTAAAGGAGGGATGCATCTGGAATGCATGCATACTATACAGCTATTTTGTCTTCTCTCTAGTAAAATGGGGCCTATTTACTACTCCAATTTACAACTGATGTGCAGCTTTTACTATTGCCAGTCTAGAGTGGCTTTGGGTATTCATTGATAATCTGAAAGAGAGATGTGCTGTAGCAAGATCTGATTTGCACATCTACAACTAGGACAAAGGTTAGTAACTTTAGTGCATCTTTGCACTGTATCTTATGTTAATACATGTAAACAAGGGGTAAATGTTGACACTGGCTGACTGTATACCTGTGATTTAGGCTGAATACATAGACTGTATAGAAGGGTTCTTACTTGACCAGTAGATTAGCTCATTATTGGATATTTTTCATAGCCCAACCATTAACTGAAGACAGAAGAGTGCCAGATTACCATCTGGTTTGAGATGTGTGATAAAAGAGATTGCATATAAAGCATTACTGTTAATTATGGGCCTAACTAGATTAATAGCAAGTGAGGAATGGGGTAGAATGAAAGAAGGGTATTTTGACCTGAGAAATTCCAGTGAGAGATGGGATTTCTTTTTACTCTTTTCTTATGAATAGGCTTTGGAGGGTGGGTTTGAAATGCAAGTTCAATTTCTCAGTAGTAGTTATTGATATATAACCTAATCCATCGCTGTACTCAGTTTGAAGGGCCAGAAGTTTGAAAATGTACCTTATGTACTGGTTGGTTAGATCAAGGAGCTGGAAGTCAGGATTACAAAGTTCTAATTTCAATTTCTGTTGCTTTACTGTTGCATAGTCTTCTCCAGCTATCAGCTAACCTTCTGTTAGTGAGAGTAGTACTGTATCTTGGTTGTGCTTTGCTAATGTTTATGACCTCAGACTGCCGGGTGAGAGAGAGCAGTGCAGTTCAATGATATAAAAATTGGGCTGTTGTTTGTTTGTTTGTTTTCATCTGTTTTTTTTAAACTGTACAGATATATGCGTGTGTAAAGGTCTAGAAACAAAGGATTGTATGTTTCTTTTCTGACTCTTCTTTGGCTTATGCTGTCTAGTCTCATGTTTGCCTCGTTCTTGGTCTGTTAGATGTGGCATGGAACAGTTGGAAAACTGGACATTTGTTTACTTTGCACATACATGCACGCCGTGCCAGAGTCTTAGGAAATCCATATGTTATTGATGAATTGTCAATGAATTAAGAGGGACCTTTCAAGAGTGACAATTAAAATACTTCTTTCTATTTACTATAAACCAATCATAGGGGATTACCTTGCTATTATAAATTACAAACAAAAGCAGCCCCCCCCCCCCCCAGATTATGCTTATAACTCTTTCCAGTGGATAGTCATTCTTTTCTTACTCTCACTGTATTTTTGGTGTTTTCAATTTATGGCACAATATCTATTTTTCATACACTTGGCATCATATAATATCCTGAAATAGTGTGACAGATATTGTAGAAAGGGGGTGTGTGTATGTATGTGTAGAGATGGACTAAATAGAGGTCCTGGTGACTGCCTCCTTCTCATGCACAAATTTTGGTTTGCAGCAACCAACCTTTGGACTGGAACTGTTGACCTAATAGAGCTTTAAGCTTTATCTTCTCAAATTCTTGTATTGTCCCAAGTAGAAGTAGACCCCACGTTGTAGGAAAAAAAGGCTTTTCCCTCAATGTAAGTTGTGAAGGTAAAGCCTTTCAATTGCTGTTGCACTTAGAAATGACACAAGAGATTTGGCTGAGGAAGGGACCCAAGATATTAAATGCACTAAAAATATTAAAATAAAAACTGCACTGAATAAGCTTCTCACTTAATGTGTTCTTGCTTATACAAAACCCAAGGCTGGGGTCCAAATCGGATTGACCCCTGCCTGTTAGTAGAGTGTATTTTTTCTCTTAATGGGGCTTTTGGAGGAGAGAAGAAAAATGCAGGTTTCATAGTCGCAACAAAACACTCTT